GCTCACACTGTGGATGCTTGCACAGCTCACACTGTGGATACTCACACTGTGGGTGCTCACACTGTGATGCTTGCACAGCTCACAGTAAACTCAGACACATGCCAAACTGAAGATGGGACACACGACAAAATTAAAACGACTGGAGATGATCAAGAAACAGGAGAATGTCTGTGGCCCTCAGACGAGCTTGCTGAGGGCAGAAATCTGTCCTGTTCATCTCTTCATCCCCAGGCACAACACACCAGGCTCGGCTTATAATGGGCACTCAGAAACTGTCAGAACAAATGAACGAATGGAGGAAGCCGCCCCGCGTTATGATCAGACTCGTGTGGGAGAAAATGCAAAGATAATCAAAATACCCACGGCAGGAAAGTGGAAATAGGATGGCTTTTTCCTTATCTGAAGACTCCATTGCGTCCTGTCACACTGTGTAACAGTTAAAAATGACTGTCTGTCTCTTTTAGGAACACCAGATCAAGAAAAAACACAAACTAAACATTTAGAATTTCTTGAAAATAGTAGTAATCTAAACATGGTATGTCATTAAAAATTAAAACACTTTCACCCTTTACAGAAATGTATACAGATACAAATACAAAGGACAGAGGCTTCCTTTACTCTCTCTCTCTCTCTCTCTCTCTCTCTCTCTGTGTGTGTGTGTGTGTGTGTGTGTGTGTGTGTGTGTGTGTGTGTGTGTGTGTACATGGGCGCATGCATTCCATGGCATGTGTGTGACAGACCATTTTCAGTTGGTTCTCTCTTCCAACCCTGTTTTAGAGGCAACCCCTCCTGTTTCTGCCACTGGGCTGCACACCCCAGGCTAGCCAGCCCTTGAGCTTCTGGGTAACTCTTGTGTCTCTCCCGCCATGCTGGAATTAAAGATGTGCTCCACTGCACCAAACCTCTTTACATGGGTTCCAGAGACTGAGCTTGGGTCATCAGGTTTGCATGATAAGCACACTGCATGACAGCCCTGAACAGTCTCCTTGACCCCTTCAACAAAGTCATAGACTCAAAAGACCTGAAGTCTCCCCAGTATCCAGCAGTGTATGTACTGTCCCTAACCTCAGAGGCTGGCACTGTAGGAAATTGGAGCAAGACTCTCATTGAGTCACTGCCCCAAGCACAGGGCATATGACATGAGAAAAGCAGAAGGAGGCACAGCCACCTGAGAAAGGCTAGGGCGCTCACTCACTGTCTGCAGAGCAGTAAGAAGGATGCCTGCCACTGGAGGAAGCAGCCCCAGGAGATAGGGAGCCAGAAGGGAGGGAGGGAGGAAGGAAGGAGGGAGGAAGCAAGCAAGCAAGCAAGCAAAATCAGACCTCTCTAAATACACGACATTGTAGTTTGGGAATTGGGTGAACATTTTCAATGCATCAGTCAAAACGTATTAGTTTCTGCTACTCTTGAGGATAAATATGTGCTCAGCCACGGGAGAGCTGCTGCTGAGAAGACAGAGGCAGAAGGGTCTCTGGAGCCCAGGAGTTCAAGCCTGAGCAACACGGTGAGACCTTGCCTCAAAAAAGCAGAATTATATGGACTCAACCGATTGCATCTGGGAATGCATATATGTATCTACAAAGTACACATGCAATAAGTAACGACTGGGAAAAGAGGTCATGAGTTTGAAGCAGAGTAGGGGAAAGTAAAGGGAAGGTTTGAAAGACAGAAAGGGAAGGGAGAGATGATATCATTAAAACACAATTTCAGAAATAAACAAACAATACACCAGACAAAAGCCAGTCAGGCTAGTATGGTATGACTATTGTCTCAGCTACCTGAGGCAGAGGCAAGAAGATCCAATGGTCAAGGCTAGGTGGGCAACTTAGACCCAAAGTAAAACAAGGGTGAAGATGTAGCTCACCCACTGGTGAGTGCGCACCAAGCAAGCAGGAAGCCCCGGGTCCCACCCCAGCACCACACACACACACACACACACACACACACACACTCACACACACACACTACATGCAGTGACTCGGTAAACACAAACAGACTTACACTGCACGAGGCAAGAAAAGAAGCTAAAGTAGGAGAAGAGAGCCAAAGCCAAAGCCCTGACATCCTTGGTATGAACTGAGGGGTTTTATTTTTGAAAACTATTATCACTAGAAGCAGTGACTGAGCTCACAGCCAGGAGCACCTGGCACCCATGAGCTGCTTGCTCACCATCTCCCCAGTAAAGGAGTATGGACCCCGTGAAGAGGCCATCAGTTCCAGCTAAACTGTCAAAGTCCACTAGACCTGTCAGGAAGATTCTAGAATAATAGCTCCCACAAGCCAGAACAGAAAACAATTCAATTATCGAAAAAAAAAAAAAAAAAAGCAATTACCACGATGACTGGAACATGGGCATCACATTAAAGCCTAGCTGGTCTCAGTAATTCTGACAGCCAACCAATGAAAGGGTCTCAATGGCCATCTGTAGATGAGAAAGGATGCCAACTAACTCTTCCAGAAACCAGTAAATAAGGGAGGAAAATGAAGAAGTGATGCCACCTTCCTATGCAGTGGGCATTCTCAAACAGCTAAGTAGGGGAGCTCTTCTCTGGAGACTTCCAGGCGTTACACCCTCGAGCAGTGGACAGCAGAATTCAAGTGTCAAATCACACAGCCCACGGCTGCTCCAAGTGATGGGCACTTCACATACAGTTCTGATGGTACCCACCCAGAAGCCAGGTTCAGCATCAGACAGAGATGCACCCAGAGCTTCTACCCTCCCTGACTTGACACAGAAGGGAGCTCCCAGCTCAGAAGTGCCCTTGTGGAAACAGAAAACCAACCTCCAGACTCAATGCCCAGGTTCTAGAAGAGGAGGGAATCTTAATTCTAGAGATGCAACTGTCCACCCAGGATGGGAGTCAACAAGGCAGATGTGCTGGCTCCTTTACTGAATACACAGCGAGGAGAGAAGGGGAGAGAGGCACAGCTCTCACAAGCTCCAGAGACTGAAGCAAGTCCATGTGGCAGCCTTGTTTGTGCTCACACCCAAATGGGTCATCTGGAAAAATCACATCTCTTGCTAGGCATGGTGGAGCTGGTCCATAATTCAGCATTCAAGATGCTGAGGCAGGAAGACCCAAACAGAGCTCAAAGTCAGTATCAACTACACAGCAAGTGGAAGTCCAGTTTGCCTCAAAAACAGAGACCCAACCAGAACACACCCTGATGGAAACTGGGATAATCTAACTGGCAGGGCAGATGGGGTCAAATAAGCAACAATAAGTTTTAAAATGCTGGTATGTCTTTCTCTATCTATATTTTTGCCATGCTAAGAACTAAATGTAGGACATTGTGTACACGCGGCAAGTGTCTACCACTGAGAGCTACACCCTCGGCTCTTTATCTCTTAGAGAGCCATGCTGAAGTATGGATGGTGTCAGGAACCACTTTCCTTTGTGACAGAGTCTGTCTGGGTAAGATAAACGGGAAACAACTGGTCCAGTGTTGATGACGGTTGAAGCAGTGGAGGCTCATGAACCCCACTTTTGCATTCTGTCCACTGGTATGTTTGAACAATCCATAATGAAAAGTTAGAGAGAAGAACCCTCTTCAGTAAGAAGGAATACAGCCTGTGTCTCCCATGAGATGAGAGGGATCTGTTCCATGCAGTTAACTCTACACAGGCTTCCCCTGAGAGCTGTGGATGAATGGAGAGCCAGCCTGCTGATGAGACCGTAAGGTGGGCGTGCTCACACCTGCTTGTCCACGTCCGCCAGGTACCGTGCTATCACAGGCACGAGGTGCTGGGAGACCACCACAGGAAAATCCAACCTGCTTTCCCGTAAGAAAGTGACGATGGGAGGGATTTGCTCCATCAGCTCAGTCCGCACCGTGGGCTCTGCAGCAATGGGACAGGGAGTTATTATATAAGAAGCAGCCAAGCATCTGACATGGTATACACTAATGGTTTCCAGCTTTTCTTACTAAAATACTTCATCAAGAAAATTAGACAAATGCAGTTTAAAAATCATTTCCCATTTAGAGTATTTATGCTACAGACAGGCTTAAAAAGCTGGTAAGCCACACAGCAATATAAAAACATAAAAGGAAGAGAGGATGACAACTCTATTATAACAAGCCATATACAAATGGAGAAAGGACCAAGAAGTCTGCATGCTGGGCCAGCGACCAAAAGCCATTACAGCTAATGGCTTCGCTCTCAGACCTATGGGTTGTACTTATTTACATTCCAGCCGGGATGTATACATTATAAATAATTCTCTCACAAATGCACTCCCCCACAATCCACGCATCCCAATTATTTCTAAGGCAAAGCATTAAACAAAGGAGCACCCGAGCTCCAGTGCATCACATTAAATTTAACACAAATATATAATTGCCGCTGCACTGTAAATGGTGACTCATTTATGAAGAGAATCCACTCAAAGTCTCAAAACACCCAGTTGGGCCTTTTAAAAAGCGTCGTGTCACATCCATGTGAATATTTTAAACTAATGTGAGAGCTATGTAGAAGGCTTCTTTTCCATTTTCAGCTAAAATGATCAAATTCTAAGGCCTCAGATTTCTGGAACTTTCTGAAGCATCTTGCCATTCATTATGAGTGCAGGGAACAGGGGCTGCAGGGCAGCTGTCAGGACTGGCAAGCCCACCACTCATTCATCTTCCTCATCTTTACTGTGTGGAGGGCAGGGGTGGGGGGAGACGGGCAATGCCAGAGCGTCTGCTGTGCTGCTGAGTGCTTTCTTCCAGAATAGCAATCACAGGGAGGCAAAAAGAACAGGAAAATCAACATCAGTCCACAGAGATCACAGGTGAGAAAAACTAATGACTGGATTGTTCTAATCCAGAGGAGTGTTTCTGATTGGGTATTTCTTAGCAACCAGCACTCTGGCAAAACTCAAGAAATACAAAAGGCCTAACTGCCAGGGCAAATGGCCTTCGTCACATTAGTCACTATGATGTTCCAAAAATAAGGACAATTTGAGTCATTCTCAAGTAAGACGTCTATTCTTCATGACAAAAATCCATCCATGGTCAGACACTGCCCAAAGCTCACTGATTAATACGAAGGCCTTAAATTGTAGCTAGTACTTGTAGCATATAATCTTTAAGAAATGTACAAGTAAAAAAAGGTACAGAACTGAACAAACCTGCATCTTCTGACAGTCGGACTGCCACCTCCATCACTGCCAGGGTGTCCTTGTCACTGCCATTGACGTCCCGGAAGACATCCAGCAATCCTCTGGCAACAATCTGACTGTAGAGACAGAAGGATCCTCACAGTTGTTACCTGGCAGGTGCTGACTCAAGGTAACCACACTGTAGGTACTGAGCTCAGAGAAGGAAGGTCATCAGAGATGCCAACCAACCACAGCCCTCCAAGAATTGGGACTTTCTCTCATAGTCTGGCAGTCGGAATAAACTTGACACAGCAAAGCCCTTATCCTCCTTCACTTACGGGTTCTTTAGGCTCACACAGACTTGGAAGAAAACCCCTGGATGGGGGGAGGGGAGGGAGGGGGAGCAAGTCACCAATAAACACAAGTAAGAGACCCAGACCCAGGACCCCTGCTGGTCCTTCACAGTCTGGAGCATGGGGAACTACATACAGACAGAAGTCTAGAGGAATTGTTTTCACTAACTCAAGCTTTCTCCAGAATCTGCTAGTTTATCATCTCCCCACACACCCCTCCCCCCCTCCCTCCCTGACAACCCCCCACACCTCCCCCACCCCCGTCTTCCCAGGTGATTACTCTTAAGCAGGGTGGACCCATAACACCTGTTTTGAGGGAGCACGGACTCTCTAAGTAGGCGTGGCCAAGACAACAAAAGGTGAAGGGCCAGTGGGAGCAACTATCTAAGGAAAGGAAAGCCTTTGTCACTGTGCCCTAGGACAGCAGGAGCAAGGAGTCAGCAACACAATGACTAGGCAAGCATTCCACAGGAAGCAGCAGGCAGCCCTAAGCCACATGCCAGTCACAAAAAGCTCTTTCTCACCAGGGGGCTGTAGAGATTCGGCTACTGCAGCCCAAAAGATACATTCTGTAGGCATCTCAGTCACCAGGAAGAAACAAGATGGCCAGTAAAGTTAACCCAAGAGCAGGACTAGGCTTTCCAAGGAGCAGGCCTACAAACGCAGGAAGGCAATGTGAACTACTCAAGACAAGGAGTCATAAATAAATGCTTTATTAAATATTAAAAAAATTTGAATTATAAGAACCGATCAAAGAAATCCTCCAGGCAAGAAGAAATGACACTAGATAGAAATCCAAATTTATATAAATGAATAAAAAAGCACCAGAAATGATGACCACATATAAAGATTTATCTCATTGTTTAAATCTCTTTAAGAAACAATTGTTAGGGCTGGAGAGATGGCACAGTGGTTAAGAGCAGTGGCTGCTCTTCCAGAGAATCAGTGTTCTATTCCCAGCACCCACATGGCAGCTCACACCTATCTGTAATTCCAGTTCCAGGGGATCTAGTATCCTTACATCAACGCACATAAAATAAAAAAGTTAAATAAAGTATTTTTTTTAAAGAAATAATTGTTAGCAGGGCAGTGGTGGTTCATGCTTTTAACCCAGCACTCTGTAGGCACAGGCAGGCGAATCTCTGTGAGTTCGAGGCCAGCCTGGTCTCCAGAGCAAGTTCCAGGACAGCCTCCAAAGCTACACAGAGAAACCTTGTTTCGAAAAACCAAAAATAAATAAATAAATAAAAAATTGTTAAGAAAAACTGATAATGAATTTATATCTGATCATGGATTTATAGCACATTTATGTATGTGTATATATGCATGTATGTAAAATGGAATGCAAAATAGCACAAAGAAACAAAAAATGAGAGCATACTAATGTAATTTTATTACACTGTGAAGTAGAAAATATCACTAATAAGTTAAAACCTGAGATAGCCACTAAAATAACAAATTATAACTAATAAACTATTAAGACAAACTAAATTCATAAAAAATTCCACTAAACCAAGAAAAGGCAGACAAAGACCCAAAGGAGAAAAGAGTGATAACAAATGAACTCTAGCAGGAAGGTGTCAGCTTTAGTACCAGTGAGTACAAATAACATAAATGCTCCAAACATTACAGCTAAAGCACCAAGACTTCTATAGTAAACAAGGATCCAACTATATACTGCTAACAAGAAACACACTCTAATATACATATGTAAATACATTCAAAGTGAAAAACTAACAATAGTTGAAGAGGGCTAGGGTAGCCACCTCAATATCAGACAAAATATATTTTAGACAGAGAACAACACCAGGGATAAAGTCACTTCACAGTGATAAAGGAGTGAACTTACAAAGAAGATATAATAATCCTAAATGTCTGTGTACTAAATAACACAGCTTCAGGCTACAGAGTAACAGATAAAAGTCACAGCAGGAGTCTAGAAACAGGACCACACATATATCACCAATGAATTTTTACAAAGGTCAACGTGGGAAAAACAGTCTTTTCAAAAAGTGATGCTGGAATGAACAGACACTGGGAGACAAATAAACCTACCTCTCACCTACCTCATACCATGCACAGAGATTAATACAAAATATACAAAATGCATGAGAAGGCTAATGTTGAACTCTCTATCATAAAAAAAAAAGTCCTAAAAAGAAAATGAATCTAGGAAAAAAGCCTATGTGAGCTTTGGTTGGAAATATTTCTGAAGCCTCAAAATGTACAAACCATAAAAGAAAACAAATAATTTTAAAATGTCATTGAAATGAAAAACTCTTTCCCAAAATCACACTAGTAAGGAGGGTGGGAGAACCAAACCACAGACTGAGGAAAATACCTGACAAAAGAGACATGCAGACCTTGCTTTGAAACTGTGTTCACAAACAAGTACAGCAGGCCTGTTCAAACAGGAAAAAAAAAAAAAAAAAAAAAAAAGGCTGAAAGCATCCCAAATAATGATCAGTTGCCAAGCAGGCCAATAGAACAAAGAGCTGATGTGAGCTCTTTGGATAAAAAACATGGATGAAAAACCATATGATCATAGCTGCCACACAGCTATGTGGAGAGAGAAAATAGAGTAATGGCTGTGTAGGGAAGCCCACTAAGGTCACTTGAGCAGAAACTGTTCATGGCAACAGAGTTTCTCTTGAAGGTGGTAAGAAAATTTCAAAATTCTTTGCAGGATGTTACACAACTCTGTAAATACATTAAAATCTATGAGTGTGAAATTGGAAGGTTGTAAACTGTACTTTAAGTCTAATGACTTTGGACTGGTAGACTCTACTGCATGGGCTACGATAATACACTCATGAACCGTGTGCTATGTGAGGTGGATGTTACACTAAACTGTGCGGGACGCTGTCGTAGCCAGCATTCTATTGCCGTGGAGAGACACCACGACCAGGACAACTCTTATAAAAGAAGGCACTTAACTGGGGACTTGGTTACAGTTTCAGAGGTTTAGTCCCGTATCATCTTACCCTCATGGTGGGAAGCGTGGCAGCAGGCAGGGCACTAGAGTGGGAGCTGAGAGGCACAACTTGGTCCACAGGTCAAAAGAGAGACTGGGCCTGCCCCGGCCTTTGATCCCTCAAAGCCCACCCCCGGGGACACACCTACTCCAGCAAGGCCACACCTCTTGATCCTCCTTATCTTTTCAAACAGTCACACTCCCTGGTGACCAAGCATCAAGTATCTGAGCCCATGAGGGCCTTCCTCACTGAAAGCACTACAGATATGTAATGGACACACACTGGGAAATTGTCATGCTATCTGAGCTCACTGGAAAGCTATCTCTGGAAGGAGGATTGCTGCAGACCAATCTTGTTTGTTTGAATGTGTCCTCCCACACCTCATGTCCAGGAATGGGGTGACAGAGAGGACAGAACACCGGAACAGCCCAAGAGTAAAGCGCAGCACCCCAAGGACTGCCAGTTGAGGCTACGAGTGGTCATCTCACGATGTGAAAGGGACTGGAAAGGTAAAGAGAGGCTGCAAGTTGAGCCGCGCCCGGAGTGAGAGAAGAAAACCCTCCTTCAAGTCCTCTCAGTTGGTAAATCTAGCTGTCAGCCTCAGCTTCCCCCGCTGCTTTCTGCCCAATGCTGGAGCTCCAGTGGATGATGGGACCTTTTGTTTGCTCTCTCAATCAGGCTACTCCAGTTGTCGACGTGGATGCTGTAACTCCTGACTCGACAGTGTTTCTCTCTCTCTCTCTCTCTCTCTCTCTCTCTCTCTCTCTCTCTCTCTGTCTGTCTGTCTGTCTCTTGCTAGCTGTTCTTGTGCTTCTGTCTGCCACAGACTTAATAAACTCACCCACGGAAACAGAAATCAGCTACTGCACATCATTCTCCTGGCCACACAGATATGTGAAGTATATCTGAGTAAGATTTAGACTTTTATTGGTCTCCAGGAACATAGACTGTGAAGGTACAGATTCCACCTCAGCAGCATGGCAAGGATGTGTACTAACATCAGGAAGTCTCCCTACAGTACAATGAAGGGATCATACTCCCCCAAATTTCAAGACCCCAACTAATGATGAGAAAGTATCAGACAAACCCACTTGGGGAGATATTCTATGAATACCTCATCACTATTCTTCAAAAATCATCAAGGTCAAATATTTGAAGAGACTAAAGAGATACAACAACTAACTACATGGTGTGGATAGAAGTCTGACACAGGAAAGAGATTACCATGGAAAGCCATGGTATCTGTGGTCAATAAGTCACCCTAGACCACTGCTGCAGTTAGTGACTAGGCTTTCTTTCTTTGCTCCACACAAGCACACAGGTCCATGTCTGACATGAACATCAGAGCAGGGCTTCTTGCCTTCAGCACAACTGTATTTGGGAGCTGACAGTTCTTCGCTGCGGGACTGTCCTATGCATTACAGGGGAGTCAGCAGCAGCCTGGATTTTATCCATTAGGTGTCACTAGTATTCCCTGACCCCCAAGATGGGACACCCCAGAAATGTCTCTGAGATATCTCTGAAGGTCCCCCTGGGGGCAGATGCCCTCTGTTTGAAGGAGCTGGACAGAAGTCGAAACTCTTTATGTACATTAGTTACTTTTCCCATTGCTGTCATCAAACATATGACAGAAGCAACTGAAGAAGGCAAAGTTTATTTTGGCCCACAGTTTGAAGAAAGAGGCCAGAAAGTCTTGGCGGCAGGAGTGTGAAGCAGCTGGTCACATGACATCCACAGTCAGGAAGCAGCTGGTCACATGACATCCACAGTCAGGAAGCAGCTGGTCACATGACATCCACAGTCAGGAAG